AGACGCTGAGTTTGCGAGTAGAGGATATCCGTAGAATAGAAGTTTTGGATTATCGGTGTTTACGTAGTTTAGCCCATGTTTGGATGGAACGAACGGGTTAGTAACGTGTAGGTAAGCCGTCGTGTGTTTGGGAGTCTGTCAGACATAAACCTGCTAGCATACCGAATTCAGATTACTAAGCTTCAGTGGCTAGGGCACGTATTGCGTATGCCCAGCCATCGTCTGCCGCTCTGCGCTTTATTCGCTGTAGCTGATCCGGGCTGGAGGAAACCACGTGGGGGTCAACAGGTGACGTGGAGACGAGGCATGAAGAAATGCACAGAGCCATTAGGTAGAGTAGGTGTCTCTCGCCTTCCAGGTTGGGGTCCGAAAGACTCCACAACTGGTTGGTTGGAGACACTGAAGGATATGGCAGCGAACCGGCAGCAGTGGCGTTCTTGTTGTCGTTTCTTATCAGGTCAGAATGTTTGAAACGTTGTGTATGCAGAGTTCGATTGCGTACCGTGTGACTCATCTTCTTCTCCCTTCCTCAAAATAAATCCAACCCCTGTCCACCTTAAATTTTACCACTGACCTTGTGAGTTTCGCAGCAATCAGTGAAGTTCGCTTCACGGTATTTTGCTGTACGATGATGATGATGAGTTAGAAATCAGTCGTCCGATCGAACAGTCGGAGTATCAAAGATGCAATCTGATTGGTTTGTCATCACGTTTTCGTACACCCAGTTAAGCCACTCATGTTTGTGGATCGCACCATGATCATAGAATACACTTTAACAGTTGTTCTCCAATAGTGTTCTCCCCCCCCCGTTATTATTGGTGGGGGTTAAGGAAGAGGCGATCGTGTCAGTCTAGGCAGAACATAACAGGTGCATAAACACCTCAAATATCCTGTCATCTTCTCCAGGGTCCACGATTTATCACACATTCAATGACAAACGATCTCGTCAGTGTACTCCAAGTTACACAGCTTTTCTTCCACTGCGCATTCAATACCAAAATTTTGCAGACCACTTGGTGCGTTCTCCAGTATTTCATCCAGAACGAAGTTGACCAGGAATAGCGAGATAGGGTTCCTCTGACGCTGCTGATTTCGAACGGTCTGCTCAACTCTCTGTAAATTAACACTCTTCCGTGAGTATGTGATTTCGGTGACTTCAGTAGAGTGAAGTGCTTCTAGGGCATTTCCTTGGACCGAGCAGAGCTTCACGGACAATCGAGTTAAGCGCACTCTTCAGGTCGAGGAACATCGCTATTATTAATTTTTGATGTGTGTTGCGCAACTCGAGCACCTGACACAATATGGAGATTCGATCAACACATTCACTACCTCTTCGGAATCCTGCCTGCTGTTTGTAAATATTCGTTTCTCTCAGTGCTGTAAAGTGGCAAAATATTACCGAGGTTAACACTGGTGACTATTGGAATTCAACGGTGATTTCCGTAGTCGTTGTATGATCCCTTGCTGAAAAGATGAACGATTAGTCAATCGCCCCAGTATAATGAGACATGCTCCCCTGACCAGAAGGGTTGCATAAAAACCGTAAAAGCATATGAGGGAATCGCCTCCCATCCTGAAAAGAGTAGGGAGGGCTAAGCCAGTTTTGTCCGATTGTGTTTCCTTTTTTAACGTTTGAGTACAAATTCGTGCTTCTAGCTCTATTGTAAGGGGCGGGGGGGGGATATGTGACACCACCGAAGGGTCTTCAGCAAGGCTCCTAGTTCGTATATTAGCTTTTCTGCATAGCAGACCCAAACAGCTGGGTCAGACAGTCAATGATGAGCTGACCGAGGCGGTCAATGAGTCGAAGAGTAACATGCATCATGACTAGTGCGTGGTCCCACTTAACGCATATGGCCCAACTAGACTAGATTTTGTACCGAACCACGTCTACGGTAGCTTTTTGCTATGTGGTGGATTCTGGTTAGCTTACCCGTTAAATGGAAACGCTAAGTTGCCGTTCGTCGAGCTCTGTGTCGAAAGTTCGGATTAGGCAAGAAAAACAACCGCTGGTCTGCATCGCTAGAAGAGGATAGAAACAATGTCTTAGATAGGTTTGTGAAACACAGTATTCCAATTCTCGCGGTTAAAGTCTGTTGTCAGCACAAATTTATGGCGGAGTTTCAGCGTAGGCGGATGAGCTCAGTGGGTTCCACGTACAACTCGTTCTTTTGTGTATAAGGACTGCAGTTAGTGGTAGCGTCTGCTGAGGTGATGAACAAACCTCTTGGCGTCGCCTCTCTTCCGAGCATTAACTGAACCTTGGAGCTTTATCGCACTCAGCTTCGTTTTTCAGTACAATTCCCGCTTCTCACTGGTCTAGTGCGCGATCCTCGTAGTCTTCTGAAGTTCGAAGAGAATTTCTTGGATGCAGTTATGCTACTCGGTTCTTGAATACTGGTCTGCAACAGGTAGTGTATGTTAATCGCCAGCTATTTAATTGTATACGCAAGATAAACCTGTTGACCAATCCACGTTGGGTTTCGCACCTTAAAGGCCCCCATATTCAACGGTTTTGGGAGGCTTCGGAACCCGCAAATCATGTGGTGATGCGTAGCCTACAAGGTTGTTTGACGAGCGTGGGCGAGTAACAATCGAGCTATTTTAGGGAACGTTACTAGTCTGGAAAGGTGCAAAAGCGGAGTGTTGTGGATAGTGATAAAGAAAGAATGGGATGTGCCTGCGGTAGCCCACTTATCACTCCCTACCCCGTCTTATCCAATGGTTGGCGCCGTTCTGATTATCCTCCGTCATAAGCGATGCAGTATAGAGTTTATTTTAAATGCGATATTCAGTTGTTCTTGATGGACAGATATTGCTAGGGAGTTGAACCACCCAGCAGAACGATAGGGTTTATCAGCCTAAGCCTTCAGTTCTGTCAAGAAAGTAACCGCAAGGCAGTAAACG